CTCTTGCCCCGCCGCCGCCTCGCCCCTCTCCCTGCGCCCCGTCCCAAGTGCCTCCCCGGAGCCTCCGGGCTTGCTCGGCGGCAAGGACCGAGCGGGGCGAGCGAGCGAGCGGACGTCCTTCGCCAGCAGAGAACATCACGAGCTGGCCGGGAGAGGGAGGATTTATACGGTTCCCCCCCCCCCCACGCTGCGTGTGTGTGTGTGTGTGTGAGTGTGTGTTGGGTTCGCCTCCCCACCAAAATGACGTGCCGGGGTTGCGTGCCGGCGCGGGAGGGGCAGAGCTCTCCACCAAGGGCGGGGATGAGCCTTTTCTTGCCTTCTTGCACTCGGGCGAAAGCGGTCCCCTCTGCGCCCGGGCCAGCGCCTCCGTGTGGGCCACGTGGGGGGGGGAAGAGCCCAACGGCCCGTGGGTGCTGGTCTGCGAAGTCCTTACCGTGGAAAGAGGGAGAGGAGGAATAGGCCCGAGGCCGAGCGAAGCAGCCTGGGCACCTGTGGAAGGTGACCGCATCTCCTACCTTTTCTACCCTGAGAACTGGGCAAGAATCTCCACCAAGAATGAACAGAAGGTGGTGCCCCCCCCCCAAAAAAACACAAAGTTCGTGCTTGCAAAAGAAAGAAACAAACAAAAACTGGGCACGAAGCTGCTTATTTTCCTGTCAGTAGCCAACCTGGGCAGCTGGCTGGATAGCTTCTCTGAGTTGTGCAGAGCCAGCAGTTCAGTTCCCCACTGTAGCAGAGCAGCCTGTGTGGGGCAAGCACAACCAGTCCAGAGGCACTTCCAGAAAAAGGGAATGGTTCGCCCCTTCTGAGTACTGAAAAGGGTTGCCGTAAGTCAGGATTGACTTGATGGCGCACAGTTGTTGTTATTATTATTAACCTGGTTGGGCAGCTCAGTGAGTTGGGCATTTGTAGCCCAGGATAAGAGCCAGCCTGTGTAGCCTTGGGCGAGCTGAACAGTCCTAAGGCAAGCGCGGAAGAAGGGAATGATAAACCACTTCTGGCTATTCTCTACCTGGAAAACCCTGGAAAAGGACCACCGGGAATCAGAATTAACCTGATGGGGTGGAGTTGTTATTAAGCAGGAGATTTCCCTCCAGATTTTGGTGCCCTCTGAAGTTTGGTGTCTGGGAACAAAGCCCTGGTTGCCTTATTCTAGCGACAGCCCTCAGAATAGATGTATCTTCAATTCAGTAAGTTGGGGCCTAAAAGGGTGACACCATCTCTCCCTTCTTCCATAGAAAAGAAAGGAAGAAAGATACCGTTCAGAAGTCAGCTCTTTCATTTGATGAAAGAAATGTTGTATTGGTTACATCTGTGCCCCACCTTTTATCCAGTGCCCTTAGAACAGAACTGTTAGTGTCCTGGTCCACTGCTCTAATCACTACACTACACCGGCTCTTAGGAAAAACAAAATCAGAAAATGAATGATATAAAAGACTGCTTTTAAGAAATGGAATGGGGAAGGGATTGCTCCCTGGCTAAATGTGGTTGCCAAATTTTCCCTGCCTGAAGGACCCACAAATGACATTGGGGAGGTATGGATCTGAGATCTTGTGGAGGGGATCCCCATGAAGTAAATATTTTTATTGTGGTTAAGACTAGCACCAAATCTAGTTTTGGTACTGTTTCTAGTCCATTCACTTATTTATTTTTTACAACTTGGTATGAGTATAATGGCCATGGGATGCATCGGTTACAGAACACATTCAAATATCCTGGAAAAATAATATTCTATTTTTCTTTATTCTTTTATTTAGATTCCTGCACTGAGCCTTATAGACCCCTTCCAACTCCATTATTCAGTGATTCTATACCTTAACAAATCCATGCCTTTGAAATGTGTGTCGCACAATCTGCAACATCTTGAATGGTACACTGGGCAAAACAAAAAAGCAAGAGATTATGCTTCCAACTCCATTATTCTGTGATTCTATACATTAACAAATCAATGCCTTTGAAATGTGTGTCACACAATCTGCAACATCTTAAATGGTACACTGGGCAGAACAAAAAAGCAAGAGATTATAGAATGGTGAATTACATGACATTGCAAGGATAGCACCCTGTTTGTATGTAATAAGTCTTGGAAGGGAAGTTAAAAGAAAGTGATATATTTAACTTGGAGAAGAAAACACTAAATGGGAGAGGTGCATAACAGTAGGAGTGAGAATTTTCTGTTAGCATGGACGGGGAAAAATCTTGAAAGAGGCTCTTATTTTTGTTTTCGTGTTCTTTTGTTTGTTCCCAAAGAGATGGACACAGTTCTATAGGTTGTGTATGTGTGTGTGTTTCCCTCTTTCATTTGCCCTTTCTTTCACCCCTTATCTAACAACTTACCTAGGAAATGTTCACCCCAATAGTCTCACAAGGGCTATTGTCAGCAGTCAATCAGGAAATCCAGGAAGGAGAGGAGGATTTCGAAGCCATAGAAGGGTCTGTACTGGTTGGAACCCAGTAGTTCTCTCTTCCTTTCACTTATTCCATGTGGCTGTGTGGCCTCCTGACAACCTTCATCTATTTATTTTATTTATTATTGGATTTTTATCCCACCCTTCTAGATAGGAGTCTACTCAGGGCGTCTCACAATATATTGTGCATTAGCAACTTAAAACAGCAATTAAAATCTACAATAATACTATGATCAAGATGGGAGGATAAATAGGAAAACCAAGAAAAGTAAAAAGTACTGGCAGGAGGGAAGGCCTGCCTAAAGAGACAAGTTTTTAATTGGCTCTTGAAAATACCCAGCGAGGGTGCCAGGCAGATCTCTGGTGGCAAGCTGTTCCAAAGTTGAGGGGCCACCACCGAGAAGGCCCGGTTTCTTGTTGTTTCTTTCCGGGCCTCTCTCATTGCTCCTCTCCTGGCTGCCTACCTCTGTGCTCTTTGGTCCTTTCCTTTTTCCCTCACTTTTTGGGAATTTATTTTCCCATTTCTTTGAGGATTCTTTTTTCCGTCAAACGATTGGGTGGGGGGAGGAGAGAGAACTCTCTCCACATTCTAGTTATTCTATTTTGAGGATAGAGGCTTTGTTTCCTTTTGTTGCCTTCATTTGCTTGCTTTTCTTGGTTTTTGGGAGAGGCATCTGTGTATGTGTTTTATTTTGCTGTCCTCTTGTGTTTAAGGCAAGGGAGCACTTCCCCTGTTTGATTTTTAAAAATTGTTGTTGGTTAATTTATTGTGTGCATTTATTTTGTTAAGGATGTTTATTTTGATGGGAGTGGGAAAGTTTGGTGGCAGCTGTTGGCTCCCTGTTTTTGGAGTAGATTGATTCTCTGTTGCTTTGCCTTTTTCTGATTCAATGGGTCCACGTTAGTGCAACCTACTATACTAAGCAATAGGATTTCAGCCAGATAAAAGTCAAAAGTGTAGTTCTCTGCTGTGTCAGATAATAGGACAAAATTTAGTGCAGTTGGCCCTACCATTGGATACAGTTAATAACCTCATCATGCCACATATGTTTGGTGTTATGAAAAATTAAACAGGGGGGAAGCATTTCTGGTTTTCCTCATCCTACAGAAGTTTTGCAGTTCCCACCCTGAAAAAGGCTCCTGCACAATTCAATAGCTCATTATGTTGTTGTTGATGTTGCTGGATAGCTCAGTGGTTTAGATATCTGGTTGCAGAGCCACTTGTTGGGAGATTGATACCCCACAGTGCCTCTGGCAAGTTGACACAGCCTGTGTGGCCTTGGGCAAACTGCACAGTCCCAGGGCAACTCCAGAAGAAGAGAGTGGTTAATCACTTCTGAGTATTCTCTACCCGGAAAATCCTGAAAATTGTTGCCCTAAGTCAGAATTGACCTGTTGGCACA